TGCCCACAGAACGAGCAATGGCAGCGGCGGTGATCTTTGTAAGAAAAAAGTTGGTTAAAACTGGGTTTAAGAAATACCAAATTGTTGCCTACCGGATGATCACCGGTGACCATGATGACCTTGATGCCGGCCGACCGGCACTTGGCTACGGCATCAGGAACATTAGGCCTCGGCGGGTCGATCATGCTAATGGCGCCCAAAAAGCACAGTCCCGTGATGGGGTAATTCTCCTTGCCGGCGGCATCCGAGTCAGTGCCCTCGCTGAAGGGATACCCCGGCGGGAAGCTTTCTTTGGGCAGGTGCCGTTCAGCAAGGCCAATGACCCGTTCTCCTGCCCCGCCCAACGCCTCGTAAGCGGCGGCAAAACTGGCCCGGGCCTTCTCGTCGAGGGCCACTTCTCGACGGCCTCCACTAGGGCCGTCAACGAGGATGGTGGTGCACCGTTCGAGAATTCGCTCCGGGGCGCCCTTCATCGATAGCCAGTAACCGCCAATGGCGCCGCCACCACCGGAAGTATCTCCTCCTTTTGCCGGTGTCGCATTGATCGTTAGGCTGTACTTGTTCACCGAGTTGAAGGGCACCTCAAAGACCTTTGGGTGGCGGGTGCGGTAGGCGGCCACTGAGCCGGTGATCATCTCAAAGTACTTGAGGATGGCTACCTCGGAGGCGTCACCAAAGGCTTCCCTTCAAAACACAACAAAAACAAAGAACACATTTTTAACAACTTTAAAGAATTAATGGAAAAAATGTTCCCAAACCGTTTCAGTACGGGCACGCCCGCCTGCCCCTCCCCAAAGGCGGCTTTGCTGCAGAGACAAGCCACCCGAGTGAGTGACCGCCAAACCGCCCCCTCGGTGTCCACTTTAGTGCCGCTGCCCTGGGCGATTAGATTGTCGGCATCGAAGATACCTCCACCACCTCCACTTCCGCTGATCCAAATGTGGGAAACTGTCATGCGGTTCTGCGTCAACGTGCCCGTTTTGTCGGTGCAGATAGTAGAAGTGGCGCCCAGCGTTTCTACCGCTTCCAAATTTTTTACCAGGCAGTTCTTGCTGGCCAGTCGTTTTGCCGTAAGCGTTAGTACTACGGTCAACGTTGGTAGAAGGCCCTCGGGCACCTGAGCAACGATCAGGCTGATGACTAGAATGGAGGCGTTGAGGAGGCTAAAACCAACGATGAAGTAAGAAAAAGCTGAAAAAACATGTTTTTACTAAATTGATGACTATGATTGTCAGCATCTAACTTACCACCAAAGAGCAGCCCAAAAAAGACCGCCACGTAGGTGATCATGGTGATAAAGTGCTGAATGTCAGTTGAAAGTGGAGTAGGCCTTGCTTCCAAACTGCTCGCCAGCACCGCAATCCGCCCCATACTGGTTCCATCACCCACCCGTATCACCACGCCCTTTCCCGCCCCCTCAACGACGTTGGTGCTGAAAAAGGCAAGATTCCGCGTTTCCAGCGGCTGCTGCGGATGGCTGCAAACCGGGCCCCTTGCCTGTGGCTCACTCTCGCCCGTCAACGAGCTGTTGTCCACCTTGAGGCCACTGGCGGTGATAATGCGCACATCGGCGGGCACCTGGTCCCCGGCGACCAGCTCCACCAGGTCACCGAGGACCAACGTCTCCACGGGCACCTTCGTCTGGTGGCCCGCCCTCACCACCGTACAGGTCTTCGGAATGAGGCCGGCAAAGCTGGCCATGATATTTTCGCTTTTTGACTGTTGGTAGTGGCTGAAAAGGCCGCTGATGGTGACCACAATGGCCAGGGCGGCGCCGAGGTACAACTGAAGGAAAAGGGATGAAAAAATTATCATCAAAAAAGCACCTTTATAATTTTTTTCATCATTTACATTGTCCTGACTGGGAAACTCTTGCGTGTGCACTTCAAGGGTGTAGGCAGCCAGGCAGAGCAGCGCCCCCACCCACAGCAGCAAATTGAACCAGCTGAAAAGGTTCTGCAAGAGGCGGAGCCATTCGGGCGTCGCCTTTGGAGGCGTTATTCGGTTGGGGCCGTCTCGGTGCAACCGTTCTTTAGCGGCCACTGGACTCAGGCCCTAAAATTGTTAGCCAAAACTAAGGATTAGAATTGTTTTGTATAAAAATTTACTTTGTAACAGTACCGTATCAATGTTAGTGGAAAATCGTTCACAAAGCTCCGTCAGCGTGATTCGGTGCTCGTCAATGGCCAGCTCTGATTTGAGCCCATCAAGGTTGACTTTCTTTTGCTTTTTCTGCTTGGCATTGTTGTTTTCTCCAATATTTTCGCCATTTGTCGGCTTGGTCAGGTTGCTGTTTAAGTCAATGTTGGCTGAGAGTACTTTTGGCATTGCAATCGTTGTTGTCGTCGTCGTCGTCGTCGTAGGAGCCGGCGCAGCAGAAGCAGCAGCATTCGCAGAGTTTATCATATTCAGCGGTAAAAGGTGAGATAAATCTGGTGATCATTATTTATATTTGTGAAAAGAAAACAGTTGGTTCTTTGCAGAAGACAATGAGGAATGCGGCTTACGTAAGTTGAAGCCTATTATGATTATCACCACCAAAAAGAAACTGCTCCTGGACGTAATCTTGATGATGTCAGTGGTGATGATAATAAAAGATGTTGATGGTCAGGTTGTGTGCAAACAAAATGAGTGATCAAGCACAAATGACGCGATATTAAAATTGTCATCGCCTGCGCACACAAAACCAGCTTTGTCTGGTGCACAGAACTGCCAATTGACCCCTGCTGACATGCCAAAAAAAAATTGAGTCAGTGTTTCACTGACTGACATCGTTTAATTACAATTAACCGTTTACTGGGCTGTTAATTGGTTGGTGTTTTTTGTTTGCCAGTTTATTCTGCAATATCATCATTGGTGTACTTCTTATTTGCTCCCGGGGTTTTAAACACAAAAACAACAGCAGTAGCAGCAATAGCAACCAAAAAGTTGCACCTTCACNTCATTGGTGTACTTCTTATTTTCTCCCGGGTTTTTAAACACAAAAGCAGCAGCAGCAGCAATAGCAACCTAAAAGTTGCACCTTCATGATTGGTACTAAAACTCGCCTAATTACACACTTGCTCGCCCAGAAATTAATTAATCTTTGCTCATTAGCAAACTTACCCTTTTTATCATTTAAAAAGTTTATTTACAAACAGCAACAGCTTTATGTAGTAGAAAATGGACTGCAAAACGAAAAAAACTTAATAAAAAAGATTTGAAGCATTATCTCACTTTAATTGTTTACCTTTCCAAAAGTCTGCGCCGTCACATCTCCATACCGCCCATAGGTGACCGTATGCGGCCGGCTCTTCGAGTGAAACAAACTAATGTACCGCTCCATTTTCAACTTCCACTTTAGCTGGCGAATGCTTCTGCTGTGCACCGCCACCAATGTCATGTACCGACCGCAGTCGCCTAGTCGGCGAGTAAAGTAAATCGCCTTGTAGTGAACTACGCCGACAAAAGCAATCGCCGTCAGGCCGGTGGTGAAGGGGGAACATTTGATCAACGGTGAAAGGGTGGACGATCGGTGGTGGGGCAGAAGCAGGGTGATCCAGGTGACGGCATTCTGCGGGTAGACCACCAGAATGAGCGCCCACATCGCCCGGCCGTACACTCGGTTGAAGTCGGCGAGGAAACGCAAACAAGCGCCGCTGTACTGCAGATGAAGCCTCAGTCGAAGTTCGCTAAAGTAGTCCAGCCGGCCTTGTTTCAAGAACGCCCACACCTGCTCCAGTTTGAGGCGGTAGGCGTAGCCGACGAGGACGACTAGAAAGCCAAAAGTGTGGCTCTGCTCAATGAAAAGGCGGCCCGCAATGAAGTACAGCGGGCCAATGAGAAGAAAGGAAGTGTAGGCAAGAACGTTGACAGCCTCCAGTTGAAATAGTCCCAGCTGGGCAAATTTGTAGTTCAGAGAAATGCAGAGAACAACAAAGAAGTTGTCTAAACGGCAAAAAAAGATGTGAAAAAGAATTAGTGGTGAGCAATTATGTAAACTAGCAGTAAAAACTGTTGATTGCTTTAAAAAAGAGTAAGTTTATTTACTAGTAGAAAGATTGTTAGCTCTAACGAAGAGTCTACCAAGCAACAGCAGTCGGTCTCGAAAAAGCAGCACTAGCGAGATGTTGCGTTTGAAG